CTCCTGGAGCTTGTCCTAAAACTCAACAACTTTGAATTTGATAAAGAAAACTACCTACAAATCAATGGAACTGCAATGGGTACTAAAATGGCCCCTTCGTATGCTAACATTTTCATGGGAAAACTTGAGGGTCAGCTCTTAGCATCGGTTGAGCGTACACCATACCAGTGGGTACGCTTTATCGATGATATAGAAATGAAGTGGCAGTATGGAAGAGAAAGTCTGGATGACTTCATATCAAAGGCAAACAACTTCCATCCTTCAATAAAATTCACGGCAGAAATTTCCAACTCAAACCATGTTTTCCTGGACACAACAACCAGACTGGTGGAAAACAAATTACACACAGACATCTACTCGAAACCAACCGACAAACACCAGTATCTCCTCCCAACCAGCTGTCATCCAAAACACTGCATTAAGAACATTCCATATAGCCAGGCACTGAGGATACGCAGAATTTGCTCCGACGATGAAAGATTCCTAGAAAGGTCTGAAGAGCTGGCTAAACATTTAATTTACCGAGGCTACGACAAAGACCTGATTGCGGAGGCAATCCAAAGGGCCAAACAAACAAACCGTGATGATCTACTCAGATATGGACAGAAAGAAAAGGTTGATAGGATACCATTTATTCTGACCTATCACCCAGACAATCCCAAAGTAGGTAAAATCATCGCAAACCACTTGCCAACCGTGCAATCGTCAGACATACTAAACCTAATACTTCCGAACAAACCTGTAGTAGCTTACCGGAGACCAAACAACCTAAATGACATCCTAGTCAGGGCAAAGCTAACGCCAAGCGCTAGTCAAAACCAACCTAGTCAATCTGGACCCTGTAGCGATAAAAGATGCAAAACCTGTCAACATATGATAGAGACCAAGACATTCACTAGCACAGTGACTAAAGAAAAACTAAACATACATGGTCCAAACAAAACGTGCAAAATAGAGAATGTGATTTATCTCATCACATGTAAGATCTGTGGCCTTCAGTACGTCGGAGAAACTGAAAAGCTACACAAAAGGATAAACCTTCATAGATCTGATTGGTTGAAAAAAAAAAAGCTGTACAGAAGCCCGGTCGCAGAACACTTCTCCTCCCCTGGCCACACTTTCAGTGATATAATACTTATCGCTATTGCTAACAACCACAGCTGGAGTTCCGAAACCAGGAAGGAAAAGGAATCATACTGGATACGCCGCCTTAGAACATTGAAACCAAGCGGTCTAAACCAAGAAGACTAGAAAATGAAAACTATGCACTAGTAGAATTTAACATTTTCTAAATCTTCTTATTATCCTTCAATTTTTACTATAAGAATAACCGGTATAGAATCAAATATCCGGGATATAATCTGCGTTACATATGTACACAAAGTAAAAATAGATTTCGCTTTGGCTTGTAGACTTTTAGGGAATTATACAACGTTTTCACTTTCCGCAACTAGTCTATACAAGCTGGGTGTATTTATAGTTTTAGCACATGTGAAGACAGCCATGTAGAGGTTTACAAACACAACGTTTTTGTGTTTATTTGTTTGTCGTAACTATGTTTTGTATTTGCCTTTGAAAAAGACTCATTAAGAGTCGAAAGCGCTTAGGCTAGTTAGTTACTAGTTTCGTACTGTTCGTCGTCAGTTTATTGCATATATATATATATATATATATATATATATATATATATATATATATATATATATATATATATATATATATATATATATATAGTATATATGTGTGTGTGTGTGTGTGTCTTTGAACGGGAGTCCATAAGTGAGTTGATACGATTTCTGTGAGAGCGCGGATCAAAGATAATTTTATATTCAGTTTTTCATATGGATGTGTATATGCGTATGTCTGTTTTTAATACACGTAATGTACCTTCACCGTCATGACCCCATTTAACGATTACACCTATGTTTGGTACAATTTAACAGCGCTTTTGATCATAAAAGTAAACATTTGAATGATTCACACTTTGCATTTACCATTTATTTAAATGACATGAAGTTATTTAAGGAAGGCTAAACTATTGTGGTTGGCCCTTTAGTAGTAATTATATTACATACGTTTTGACAATAACGAATCAATATTTGTTGGACTTTTACGCTTATAGATAAATTTTTACTTCCTCTGGGGTAGGAAAAATATTATATGATAATATTTTAATATTCTGATTAAAATATTTACGTAAATGAAAAAAATGTAGTAGCTATAAAGCTATTTAAATCAAAACAGTTGTCACGTATATACGAGAGTATGTATGTAATGGGCGTCATTTCTAACTTAAATAGCTTAGATACTATGCATATTATGCCACAATAATTTATGAAAATCATTACGGTAGATATTTTAATACATATACGAACGTCTTCCATATTATAGTAAATACTAAAGCATAATAATTATTTTAGACTTGTTCGTTCTCCAAATACAGATGGCATTCATTTTGTGTGTTACGGAAAACCGAAACTAAAACTAGACCTCAGTTTTGAAATATCCATGATCTAGTTCAAGGATGAATCGATATTTCAGTAGGGAAACCCTATGACACATCAGTTGTACATAGAGTTACAAATATTGAGCTTTCATGATACCAATACGCCGGTGTTAAATGTAAACAGTGCGTCTACTTTTATATCAAAGCAAACGCACTCGAAGTGATTAGGTCTACTTGTGTGTAACTACCCGTAAGGTGATTAATAATAATTGTCTAGTTGAGCACATGTCCTGATAGCGACGGGTAATTGAACGACATAACGACTTGTTAAAAAACCAAACTAAAGCAAGATACTGATAAAAGGAATTGTACAGAAATCTGATATTAATTAAATCTTTTGTAAAAGTACGAAAATACAATTCGGAACTACCAATTCATAGTGGTGGTGAGATGGGGTCTCTTATTTTCTTTCGCACAGGGATATTACCTTCCTTTTACTTTAAAATAAGTAATTCTTCTTAAGTATTGTAATGGATGTGGTCAATTATTTCTTTCTTTTTTTCAAATCGGTGTAAGACTTTCCTATTTTAGGTTATCTGGGGATGGGAATTATTTTCCCTAAAGGGTCTAGCCCCAAACCTAACTTCTCTCCTAAGGTCAAATTGTCAGCATATTATGAATGCCATTTTGCAATCACATTAAACTTGTTTGGTGATTAAATGATTATTTACGATTCAAAATTATGTTAGAATGTAGTATTTATTTCGGAAAATATTCCGAATTCTGAGATTTAGAGATGAAAACACAAGCATGTATAGATAGCAACGGCCAAAGCGTATATATCGTTTCAAACGTCATCGCGAATACTGTCAACGTTGCCCCTGAAAGTGTGCCTGAAAATTACTTAAAAACTAGATAACGTGAAAATTACTTAAAAACTAGATAACGTGAAAATTACTTAAACACTAGATAACGTGCTCTGTTTTTAAAAATATTTCAATGTATACATTTCCTCCTTAGTGCCCACAGACTTTATTACCTTACACATCCAACGTTGGTGACTTTCGTAGCGTATATTTGCGGAGTTCAAGAGGAGTGGCTAGAAGTGTGTGTAATCTTTTAGTAAATGATTACATTCTTTCAATAACAACGTCTTTCAATGTCGTATATGTCGTAATGTGCTTTCAATAACTGCTTTTTAGACAAAAATATGACATCTATATGGATGAAAAAACTTTGTATCGAACTTTACTAAACGTTCAAGACAAATTACTGAATGTTATTGTTCACTAGAAATCATCAAAAGGAAAAATAATTATCTGGAATTCGTTAGTATTGATTCCATTTCCTGTAATGCATTTTTAGATGTATCACCTGTACAATTCACGATGTCGCGTTGTACTAACTGTCGGTAGATAATTTAATAGATTATTAAAATACAATTCTCATGTGACAATGTGTTAGCTTCACAAAACTCGCAGTGACCTTATTATTCAAGGTATACCATGCAAATATATATATATATATATATATATATATATATATATATATATATATATATATATATATATATATATATATATATATATATATATATATATATATGAGAATTATTTACTAGGTAGTCATGCGAGTGTCTGCAACGCACGAGCTTATATAATAGTGACTCAGAGTCATCAATTTTTGGTGATGCTTGCTTAGTCGGGAAAGTATATGGGCTGGTGCGTGCAGGCAAGGCGATGGGTGCCATTTACTCGCGGACAAGGGTTCGAAACTCCGTAGCGTTCGAATTTTATTTCTCTAACCTGTATGATAGTATTGTTTTTATTAAACTATATATATATATATATATATATATATATATATATATATATATATATATATATATATATATATATGTATGTATGTATGTGTGTGTGTGTGTGTGTAGGCATGTTCAACAGGAAATATTGTCATGTTAGGGTTAGGCATGAGATTGTCAAAACCAGAAATTTATAATAGTGCTATATTATATAGAATGATTGCTCTACCTCAATGATCAATTTGTAAAATGCAGATGGTCGGGTGTTTATCCATTTGAAATATGAGGTTTGTGGTGGTTAGACATTTGTCTGCACAATAGTTTTAATGGTCTTTTTTCTTTATTATTTAATTTTATAAATGATTATGCTATGTCTCGTCCGCTCTTTCGGTCGATAAGAGAAATCTGACCTTAATTAAGGTTCAACTATTAAATTGAAACAAGTTGAATTTACATAACAATCAACTATGTACATAAATGTATATGTATTGCATATAAATGTTGTACAAAAGATTGTGTGTGATTTGAATTTTCAACGTAGCTTTAACAGTTTTTTCAGTTTTATCGCTACGATGTCTGCACTGAGGCAGTTTATAGTGATGTCTAGCACTGGGGCATCATGCCGCACTAATGTATTATTGTGTCCCACCTCGTTATTTTCATGACACCAGGCCGACTAGTCCTAACACTGACCTCTTAATGCTAAACGCCAAGATAGGCCGCTATTAGTACCGTTGTTTTCAAATTTTGGTATGTCTACGCCGGGGATCGAACCAACGATATCCTGCATCCGAGGCGGAAGCTCTAACCACTAAGCCACCGGAGTAGTATGAAAGGGTATAATATAAACAGTCATTTTTACATGTTCTTCATGAAAATATGAATAAAAAACTATTGGTATGATAAGAGATAAATTGGATTGAAAATAGATCCGATGGTTTTGGAAGTTTAACGTTCTAATTATAAAAAAGCCCGATATTTCCGTTGGAAAATCCATTGAGTTGTAAACATCACGCATTTATAAATGCATTTTTATGTAGGTAATTTGCTTTCATAGCATGATGAGTAGAGAATAAATGTAAACAGTCAGTTTCTTTTAATTCAAGTAACCTTACAAGGGAAAAGTTTTGGGAATATCTATGATCTAATTTAGCAGACCCTACCCCGGCCTGCTATTAATTATGTGACCGCTTGATTATTCGTCCGGGAATTCTCTAACCTGCTGACGTGTTCAGTTAGGTTGTGTGAGTTCACGATATCAATGCACAGGTAATAAATGTAAACAGATTGTCTATATTTAAATTAAAATTTAAATTTTATAATTAAAGTCGCTTTGAATGATGTCCCAACATGTATGTAACTGTAACGTGATTCGAATGAGTTTCTAGTTAAGTATAGCAACTACGGTCATATTAGAAGTAAGAGATCTGATTCACATACAAAATAAATATAAAAAAAACTGACACTGTGCAATATAAAATAAAACCAACTGTAATTTGTACGTCAATCAAAAGTGAAAGTAAGCATAATTAGAAAATGACGATTTAATTTTGGGAGAGCTGGGATTTTCTTTCTAAGGAGAATATTTTTCTTTTAACTTCAAGACTTTGTTTTTCAGATTGTCAAATACTATAATGGGTACAATTAGTTATTTAAGTTTACAAAAGAAAGAATAATTTTTTAAGATATCTGGAGATCGCTAACTTTGTTTCAGTAGACAACTGGCAGAGTATGAACTGTAGAAGAATGGCTAGTTGTGAGGGAGGATTGATGACATCATCAGGTGGGTCCATAAGACGAATAAATCACAAAGACATACCAAGCTACATCTATTAATACATTTGCTTCCATTTTCATGGAGAATTGGACTGAGCGTCTTGCAGGGATAAACATATGATGTCTTCTTTCTTATTTATCGATGGGGAAAAGGTAGTGGTATGGTGAATAACGTCATGAAATGGTTGATAAAATAAGAGCAGGAACAAAAGGTACTGAGTCCTACCAATACTGCTACCGAAAGATCAGCTCTTAGCAACAACATGCATGCACTATTTTATCAACAAGTCGTGTTGTACAGGAAATGTGAGACGATGGATATTTGTCACTCGCTTCATAGATCACTCACTGAACAGTTGTTGCTTTTGAGAGAGAAAGAGAGAGAGACTACAGACATACGCACGAACGTACGAACGCACGCACTCACACGCATAAATTCATACATACATACATACATACATACATACATACATACATACATACATACATACATACATACATACATACATACATACATACATACATACATACATACATACATACATACATACATTGGGAATAATTTACTATTTTAAAGTTTCATTACTTGTGTTTTCGATGCCACTTTCAACAATTCAAGAATGCAACAATTACATGATATAGGCCCTAAATTTCTTAAAAGAAACTCAACAGTTATTCCATACACTCCATGTTATTTTGTATTCGATATACTTTGTACAAGCTTAGCCGTTCCGCTCGGCATCACAGCTGTGTTTGTCGTGAAGTGTGTATTTCACAGGCTGTCTCAAGATTCTAAAAAATAGCGTCATTGCTGATCAAAAAGATAAATGTGACTGCATCAAAAATCACTCGTTGACAGTTGACAGGGTTATATACGTACTAATTTATTAAAGCATTTACAAGAAGAAATAGTACAAATGCATTTTTATTTAAGAAAAACGATCTTTGTACATGAGGCTGAGGTAGCGCAACAAATACCAACTAATGCTAATTTATTTGCACGACTTAAATATTAAATATTTTGACTTGTGAACGACAAATATAAAATAGATATTCTGGACGGTTTCTGATTCATTACAGAGTTCACTCAATGTTCATAACATTGAGATAAACTATATTAACCCTACTAAATTGGATGATTAAAATAGCAAAAGGAGTTATATGTTTGCTTGAGTTAAGTACAATAGCTATTGGTCACGAATTACTTGTCGAATATATTGGATAACGTGGGCGTAGTGTTTTCAGAATTCGTAACATTAATTCTTAACAATGATCTAGATACCAGTCTGGAAGTGAGATGACTTTTGGAAATCTTAAAAATACACTTTTACGTGGGAGCTTTTGCAATATAAAGCTGGGCATTTTTTTTTTCTTTAAGGCTTTTATCAGTGACTTCAGTCTTTAATAGCAGATCTATTATAAACGTGCACTGTAACATTTTAAGTTTTGTTGGGTTTCATTTCTTTTCCAGGCAGGCCAATAATATTTTGTTTGGAATCCAAAGCTTGATTAAAAATTGATGTAGTATTAATGGTACCACGCTATAGACGCATCTAAAATAGTTTATCTTGAAGCACCCCGTTTCGTTGGTTTCTGCTAGCATTTTTCTAGAAGTACAAGAGCTGTTTGTTGAGCACAGAGAGCCTGGTATATGTACACTGTGGGTTAGGTCGACATCATATTTCTTTCGATTTGTTTATCGATGTGTGTATGTGTTCGCATGCGTATCTGCACTGATTAACAAATTACTAGTGAAATTTAACATTTCAAATCGATCAGACACTGAACATGAGCGAAACAGCAGAGAAATGAGATTGACACATCTTAGGCTGCTGAAGGATAACTATAGATCTATTACAGTGAGTTTTGTATATTGTGCACAAATATGTGCCAATTCGGAGAAAGAGAGAGAGAGAGAGAGAGAGAGAGAGAGAGAGAGAGAGAGAGAGAGAGAGAGAGAGAGAGAGAGAGAGAGAGAGAGAGAGAGAGAGAGAGAGAACTTCTTCCTAAAAATACGTTTTTTCGAAAGCAGCCATAAAAACATAATGAATCTTTGTACTTCAAAAATCTTGTAATTTAATTCAAAACGGTAATCATTAGCAGCAATTACTACATCGAACAAATATATAGTTTCCCTCATGCTTTATACAGCAGTGTTATCACAATATATAATAACGCAGAGTGCTCAAGGCTTTAGAACAGTAATGTAAGATCGATGTAAGTAAATAGGAAAATCATATTCTGGCTTGAAAGTGCCTATCAATTGCAGCCTGGTAATTCTTCTTGTATTGGAGCAATTTCGCATTTGGTGTTAAATGAGCCACATTGATATAACCCATTGACAGCGACTTTGAGACATATGAAGCAAAACTTTGTCCCACACCTGCATGTCATATGCTTGCAGGCTCTCTCATGCTCAATGAGACAACCACAAGCTGGACAGGCCCGAACAGATGGGCAATTCTTGACTCCAACGATTTCCTTATTGCAGGCTTTTTTTAGGATCTTTAGACGAGGGTCCTTACCATCACACATAGGGTTCCCGCATTCTCTGGCACCCGCAGACAACCAGGGTCTCAGGCAATACCAGCAAAAGTCGTATGGAAACCTTTGGCCCTTGCTACAAAGAATGCACGTAACTCTAATGTTCTTATTATCGCGTCTTTCGCAAAAAGAACCACATTTGGGGCAATCTTGAATTCCCATAGCTTTCCTAAGATAATTCTCGGAAAGCTTTGTCTCGAAGTACTCTTGTTCTTTCTCCGTAAGCACAGCTAGCTTTCGAACTATAATGTAATCCCATATTTGCCCGCAATATGTTTCTTTCTTGTAGGGGCAGCGGAATTCGTATCTGCCAGCATCTAGAAGACTTCTACAAAGAGCAGTAAGTGATTCTGGCCCTGAAATGTACACCATAAAAGACTCAGGAAAAGGTATCGTTGCATGCAAGAAATTTAATTTGTTTGATGCTACTGTATGAATTACTTACAAATCAGAAGTAAGTCTGGTATATATTTTGTCAATTTTGTTATAAGATCTATGACATTCTGAACATGTATTAGGAAAATGTCCGTTGTTAAGTGTTAAGCAACTCCTCTAGACCAGTATAAAGTTAAACGTTCTCTAATAGCCACTTGCAATAAGGGTCCACCTGTTTTTAATGGCAATTTTTCCTATTTAACCAGACTGTATAATGTGACCTTAGTTTAAAGTGCAATTACTGTTGTTTTGTAGAGAGAGAGGGGGGAGGAGAGGGAAAGAGGGAGAGGGATAGTGGTAAGAGAGAGGAAGAGGGCGATGGGTAGAGTTAGGAGAGGGAGAGAAAGATGGAGGGGAGAGAGAGGTAAGGGAAGAGGGGGAGAGGGGTGAGATAGAGGAGATGGAGGAGAGGGGAGAGGGTAGTGAGAAGGAGAGGAACAATGAGACGGAGACGGAGAGAGATGGGGTAGAGGGAAGGGAGAGAGAGAGGGGAGGGGAAGAAGAGGTGGAAGGATAGGGTGAAGGAGAGGGAGAATGAGGGAGTGGGAGGGGGAATTGGAGAGGAAGGGCAGGGGAGAAAGGGAGAGAGGGAGATGGAGAGAGGAAAAGAGGGAGAGAAGAGAGGGGGAGAGTGAGATGGAGATGGGGGAAATACCAATGGCATGACCGCACGGCATCTTTGCCCTTTGACTCTCTGGGTCATCATCCAGGGTAATCATGTCAGGGTCGTCTGTTAACTCAACGTCGTCGTCCAAAACTTTGGGTTGTTGTTCCTCATTATCCCATCCGCCAGGGAGCCTGAGGAGAACAAACAGAGTGGCATGCTTTCCAATCCCGTAATCTTTCAGTGTCATGGTGGTTCCATTTACTTCTGACTGAAGCTGCTTAGCTGTAATTGTAGTACACATAACAGTTGATTGCAGTAAATTTATATATATATATATATATATATATATATATATATATATATATATATATATATATATATATATATATATATATATATATATATATATATATATATATGGTTCAATATTTCTCAGCCTGTCATCATTTATTTTTTCC